GAAGATCTGTTAAAATAGCTATTACCCAAATGCAGGCGCCAACACTAAAGACAAAGATGAAGAAATGGAGGCGTTTTGCCAAACCTTTCCTCAGCTCCCTGCCCCGGAGACCCTCATTTGTCCTTTCTATTTGGGGCCTACGATATAGAGATGATTTAACTGCTTCCAATTTTTGACACTGGCACTTATTACCTTGTGCTACCTTCTGCTAAAGGAATTGTCGTAATAATGGAATCTTCTGAGAAGCTATCGTACAGATGGAACTTGAAGATCTTAAGGTGAGCAAAGGAAGGCAATTGCGTCAGGGCAAATATTGTATCACCTCACTTCTGTAAAAACGACAGGACAGTGCAAATGTACAGAGATCAGTCTGCTCGTGGTCACTGGGAGGAGAGGGGTGGCTGGTTAACTGCAAGTCAGTAATGGTAATTCCTGTCAATACGTTGGACACTTGTGGTGAGAAGCTGAGCTAGGAAAAGATGTGACTGTTACTGTTGGTATTAGGTGCCATCATGTCAACTCTAGCTCAGCAATCCTGTGATCAACAGATTGGAACCTTGCCCCACCTGCTCTGTCCTCATGATCTCTGACAGACTCAAGTTCATTGTCATAGTCACTGGGTTAATACAGTTCGATGAGAGTACTCCTCTCTTTTGCTGACCCTTTACCTTTCCTACCATGTAAGGCAGAGAGTTTCTCCTCATTCTAAGTGCCTTCCACCCCCAGGAGCTTGTCCTTGGGTACTAGAGCCACCAACATTATTCACAGGGTGTTGGAAGCCCTGTTATTTCAGAAATGAACAGCCGGTCCTACTTCCTAGTCTTTTAGCCTGGACGCTCTGCTGAAATGTATCCGTCCTAGTGACCCTCTGGGTGTCTGAAATATCGTTGGCACAGCTCCCAGCATTGCAGCAACACACACGTCACCACAGAGCAGTAAACTGACAGACAAGTGCCGTACCCGTAACAACAAACTGTAAGACAAACAAGCATACACATATCAGACAACAAACGTATATGCTGTGTGAAATAGAAAACAAGCTGCCTCTCCTGGGACAGTGTATCTGGAAGCTCCCCCAGCAGGAGACTGGAGGTGGGGTGCCCAGTCTGGCCAGAGTTGCATAATTACGGTGCTCAGAAAGACTGTATTACACATCACGGACTGCCACGAGAATAAACACATCTGTCCTGGGAAAAGTCCCGCCAGAGTGCTCCTTGGAGGTGAGAAGGGGAGACTTGGTCTCATAGACTGTGGGCGTGTTCAGAGGAGGGGACAATCACTGGGGAATCACAACACGCTGAGAAGAGGAGAGGGTCTTCGATCACGGGGAAGACGCTCAAGGAGATGGATTGACTCTGTGGCTACAACAACAATGACTGTGAGGCCAGTGGAAGACCAGGCAGTGTTCCATGCCATTGTGGGGTTGCTGTGAGGTGGAACCAAGGGGAGGTGTCTAACAATAACAAAAACAATGGAAGTGCAAGCTTCAGTAAGTATTAACATATTAGGAATGTTTCATACTTCACACGAGGACAAAGCTGTGCGTGAACTTTGCACTTTCTGCACAAATTTTCTGTAAATCTACAACAGCTCTAAAAGAAAGCCTATTAAAAATAATATTAAATGCTTGCATACCCATGTTTATGTTGGTTTTGTTTCAATAGCGAAGAGCTGGAAACAATCCAAGTGCCCATCAACAAACGAATGGATAGAGACACTCTGGTATATTAACACAATACAATACTATGCTGCATTGAAACACAAGGAACTCATGAAATATTATGCAAAATGGATGACCCTGGAGGACATTATGCTGAGTGAAATACCTCAGTCACAAAAGGACAAATATTGTATAGGGCCACTGTTGTAAAACGAGACTGACATCAGGGTTGAGGGAAGACACAGGAGGGGAGGAATGATGTATACTGCACTGAAACAGATGACGCAGAGAACTGTTTAAAGGGGTATATGACTGGGTATTATTGTCACGGCAGGAGTCCAGAGTGAAGGCTGCACAGTGGAGTGGACTTGGGGGGAGGGATTGCATTTGTATAACTATGAAAGAGTTTTTCTTTTACTTTTCAAGAAGAAGAGTGAATTGAAGGGAGGGGTGGGCAG